TCTCTGTAAGATCACTGGTCTCACTGATAGGAAGCTCTGACCTCTAATGACATCCTCAACTGTACCACTTCCTAATACCATCACTTTGGGTTTAGGATTTCAATCTACAAATTTTTGAGATACATAAAAAAAAAATCACACTGTAGTGATGGGAAGGTCCTTCTGTGTATATGTTTGTCTTATTGGTTGATAAAAAAAAAGCACTGTTGGCCAATGGGGAAGCAACTGTGGGTTTCAACCAGAATGGCTCATTTCCAGTGAGTCTCTCTGCTGTTCCTATTCAAGTATTTATTCCTGTCAGGTCTTCCACACATGTCTCTCGGTGCTGCAATTGAGGTACCATTTCATAAGCTGATTGACTGTATCTCTTCTGTGTTCTTCATACTCACCATCCATTCCGAACCACATTCATAGAATAAAAGATATAAGAATTTCTTAAAGACACAGCTTCTCTCCCTCTTAGAGCAGCCCCTTCCTCAATGCCTGGACTATAGATAGGCAGGTAATATGTGGTGACTGGTTCAAATAAGGCCTCAATACATGGACTCCTTTTGTGGCTGCCCGATACTACATTAAGGAATTAGCTTTATATGTTTTATAAACATTGAAGAAAACATCATGGGCCTATGAGAGGGTTCGGTGAGCAAAAATTTTGCTTTGTGAACCTGATGGCCTAGATTCAATCCCTGGATCTAATGTTGGAGAGAGACAACTCCTGGAGCTGTACCCTGACATCCACACATCTGCTGTAACACATGGACACGTGTGTGTTCGAGTGTGCTGGTGCGCACATGCACACATAAATAATAACACACTGATACTTTTTAAAGTAGCACACCTTTCAGAAACATGAATCTGATCAGAAAAAAATGGTTTGTATATGCATGTGTGGGTGTATAGATACGTGTTATACATATCATTTACTTTTTAATAATTAAAATTTTTATTTTTATCTTTAAGCAAACAGATGTCTTTGGGAGTAACATGGGAGATTCTTGTGGGCTTTCATTATACAATCATTGCTTGCTGTCCCTTGCTTTAGGGGTACTTTGATGGGAAAGTCTGAAGCCTTCCTCTGAGGGACCCAGCCTCTAATTAGAAAAGGGAGGGAATTCTGATGGGAATGGACGGCTACAAAAGCTGTCCCTAATTTTTTTTCTAAGTTTTCCCCCTGTTCTCTGGAGCTTTAAATCCATTACCCATACTTCCCCCATTTCCTGGCCCAGTTTTCCCCAAACTGAGTTCTTCAGAACCATTAATTTATGTTCTCCAGAGACTGGAGAAAATCTGTGCTCAAGTAAGGCCAGAAAACAGATTAAACTGCCTTCAAAGCATCACTATGTATAATGGTTGTAATGCTTTTCAATGTTTTGAAAGCAAGTAGCAAAACGCCACACTGATTGCACATAGAGAGGAGACATTCCAAGTTCTGAGGGCACACCAGGGCAGACACCATGCTGGGGACTTTGAGGAAGCTTGCTTACCTATGAAGTCAGTAAGGTGGTTTCCTTTGCTATCAATAAAGCAGAGCCCTTTAATAAGAATTAGAGTCTGAAATTTCTTTTTATCTGTTTCTTTTGGGGGTTGGTAGGGTTTCTTTTGTTTTGTTTTTTCTTTCTAAAAACATTTCAGACCCATTTCTTTGTAATTGATCTATTGATATTTACGTTGAAGAGGTTCCCTGCCTCACTGTGCATTGGGAGGTCATTATATAAGTTTAGAGAGTAGGTTCTTTTCTTGTACCATGTGGGGACTAGGGCTTAAGTAGCAAGCACTCTTTCCCATGAGCCATGTCAACAGCCATGTTTGGGCTTTTAAAAAATCATTTATTTATTTATTATTTTTATGTGTATTCGCAAGTGTCTGTGAGAATGTATGCCTCTTTTGGGCCGGTGCCCACAATAGCCAGGTGTTGGATCTACAAGAACTGGACCGACAATTATTGTGAGATGCCTGGCCTGGGTTCTGAGAACAGAACTCAGGTCCTCTGGAGGAACAAGCATTTTTAAATCATGGAGCCATCTCTCCAGTCCCCGTGTTTTAGACTCTGAGACAGGGCTTCATGTAGTCCAGAATGGCTTTAAAGTAGCTAAGTAGCTGAGGATGGCCTTGAACCCCCAGTCCTCTTAGCTCTACCTTCCAGTGCTGGGATAATGGGTTCCTACCACCACTACTGCCTTGGAATCTTCAGTCTCTGAAGAAAATATCAAGAAGTAAAACAACTCTAAACCTGGGCTCCACAGCTAGCAAGTCACAGAAAATGATCTGGAGCTGTGTGTGTCTGATTCCCAGGGTTTTTCCCTCTGTGTAACACATGTGAGGATGCTACAGTGGTCAAAGAGCGCTCCCACTGACACTGAAGGCATCCTTTGCCGACATTTGCATCAGTATGGGGAAGGTGGTCAGGACACTGTGTGCATAAATTAGATTTTGTATTTATTATTTATAAAATGCTGATTTGTCATATTTTCTTCTTAGAAACAATAATCATTTTTAATAATTGAGTAGGATTTTGGAAAATATGGACCACTTGTGCTTAAATAAATTCTATGGTCCACATAGAACCATTATATTGAAACTGAGCCTCTTTTCTGAGGCAATTCTGATTCTAATTATGAGCTTACTAATTTACAAGTAAACGTGCAGGATACTCAGTGGGTGTGTAGTTTGTTGATCTGGTGCAGCAGGCTCTATGAGGATCATATTAGGATCATATTCGCCCCCATGATGCCTAGGTGACCCCTGGAAAATTAATTTTGAGGCATTAGTATATAAAGTCCTAATTTTGCTGTTGTTGTGTTTTTCAAGGCAGGGTTTCTCTGTGTAATAGCTCTGCTGTCCTGGAACTCGATTTGTAGACCAGGCTGGCCTCAAACTCGGAGATCCGAGTGCCTCTGCCTCTCAAGTGCTGAGATTAAAGGTGTGCACTACCACTGCCCAGTTAAAGTTCTAATTTTTAAAAATTCCAAATCTTTTAATTCTTACATGTTCATTTCTTTCTTTCTTTCTTTCTTTCTTTCTTTCTTTCTTTCTTTTTTTTTTTTTTTTTTTTTTTTTTTTTTTTTTTTTTTTTGTCCCAGAGAGATAGCTAGGACACAGGTCTGCATAATTACAGCACTGAGCATATGGCAATTCTATTGAGAAATACTAACTGGGAAATAGTTTTAATAAAATAAAGGAACAGAAAAATCTGTGCTATAATAAGCTAAATGTTACCCTGTATGTTATATGCTTTTCTCATCTCTGACAGAGCAACTTAAGGGAGGGAAGATTTGACTGGGCTCACAGCTTGAGTGGCTTTCTGTCTTTCCTTGCAAGAAAAACTGAGCAGAGAAGCTCCCTGCAGGTTCCTGGCACAATAGCCAAGCTGGGAAGCAGAGCGTGTAAACAAAAAGCCATTATTATGCTCTTATTATGCTGAGAACCCTCCCACAGATCCTAGCCTTAAAGATGGTAAGGCTCTCATAGCAGCATCCCCAGCTGGGGACCAAGTGTTTTAACACATGGGCTTGTGGGGTTGTTTTAGACTCAAACCTGTATGCTTCCTCTCACATGTCATCATCATTAGTTCGTGGTTACTTACTAAGAGATACAAAATGGGTACATTCTGACTCCAAAGAAACCATTGCTAAATGTTCTGGAAAATGGAAGCTCCTGAGTACAGAGTACAGCCTTGAGAGATCCCTCCCCTCTTGTCTTTAGGCAAGAAACTTCAAATTCCAAACTCTCAATTTGTACTGTGTGTGAAATGAGCCCTGAAGTATTCTGGAACAGGCTAGTTCCAGCCCCTTGTCTTTCTCTTTGCTTTTACTTTCAAAGGTTTTGAAACAAGAGTACTGAGAAATTAGTACAAAGCTGATTCAGTAAGGGATTTCTTAGGCACTTTCACTGATTTGGCTGGCGCTTATTGTGGAACAGTGATCAGTAACCTACCCTGTGTGTGAACAACCTAGGGAAAGAAGTATCATTTTTTCTCATGCTATATTAAGGCATTTCTCTCAATCAAATAAAGTGTAATTGAACTAAGGTACATATTTTGTTCTTGAAGTTGTCTTCAAAATAACATTATAAAAGGAAGAGAAAAAGGAGGAGGAGGAGAACGACGAAGAGACGGAGCAGGAGCAGGAGGGGCTAGAGGAGGAGGGAGGGAGGAATAAAAATGAAAGGAAGACAGAGCTATAGACCAGTATTTGTCATGAATGTAGTTGCCAAAATCTTCAATAAAACATTAGCAAGTCGAATCCTATAATCTATAAAAAGTGTTGTATACACGACCAAGTGGGATGTATCCTAGGTTCTCGGGACCCATTCATCATTCAAGAATCAATTAGTGTAATGTATCACACAAGTTGGCTAGAGAAGAAAGATCATGCAATCATACCCACTGATGTATAAAAAGCATTCAATAGAACCGAACACTGTGTTATGACTAAAAAGTACTTAACTATGAATTTTAAAAAGGCACTCCTTGCCTTAATGAAGAATAACTGTTTTTAAAGCTATAGCTAACACTGTACATAGTGACAAGAAACCCAAAGCTTTTCCATTGTGCTCAGCCCCAAGTCTCTAGCACTGCTGCTCTTCAGTGTCACCTCAAGTCCTAGCTACTGTATAAGAGTGAGGAGCAGGAGCAGAGTAGGAAACTGATGCTGTCTGATGTCCAGACACAGCACAAAACAAATCAAAATCACCAAGTACTAGTGAAAAACCAGGCAATTATATCAGTGGGACTAAAAAGAATGCCCAGAAATAGACCCACATAGATCAACAGATTCCTGACAGAGGCAGTGTGGTAGGATGGGAGGTACAGGCAAGATAGTCTTTCAACAAATAGTGTTGGGACAATTGAACATCCTCATGTAAAAGCAACCAAACAACCCAGAACAACAATGAACATTTCCTACAGGTAGACCTAGCAGCAGTCCCAAAAGATGACAGAGCTACATGGACAATAGAAAATTATCAAACTAAAAAAATATGTGAGAGAAAACTTGATGCCGTTGAGTTTAGTAATTTTATTTTTTGCTTTTTAGATGCAAAATGAGAGAGAGAGGTATAATCTACAGAAGAAAGGGATGTCCAGCCAGATCTGATTATAATTAGACATGTTTGTTCTGCAGCAGATTCTGGCTATATCCAAAACCTGTTAGATATGAACTGGGGTGTCTCTCGAAGGTTTAGGCATCACATCCTTGGTCCTTAGAACAGTCCAGAGGTCGGAGGCCATTGAAAGGTGCCTGGGTCAGGACCTCCCTCTTCAATGGGTTGATCAAGCATGAGGCTATAGCTTAATGTGCCACTCAGAAATGAGCCCTAGTTAGAGGAACTAGTTCTCTGAGGGGGGGGTGAGTTTGAAGAGTATTTTGTCTCTGGTCCTGTTCTCTTGTCAATAACTCCCACCTGCCATGTACTGAGCAGACTCCCCTCCCACCCCAGCCACCGTGATGTTCTGTCTCAAAATATCCCAACATTAACAGTTGTCCCATGGACTGAAACCTTTGAAACCAAGAACCCTAATGCCCCTTTAAACTGTTTCCCTGGGGTATTGTGTCACAGCATTGGAAAGCTGGCAAACCTAGAGTGTTTAAAATGTACAGACAAACAAGAGGCACTCCATTTGTCCAAACTCAGACTGCACTGAGTGTGACCCTGATGTAGATTTCAGACTGAGTGATAGCGTGTGTCAAGGTTCAGCGGTTGTAGCAAGTGTACTGCACTCACACAGCTGATAACAGGAAGCCACCTGTGTGTGGGAGGGGCCGGGTAGGGCAGGCAGAATCTGTTCTGCTCTGTCTTGCCATGCCTCTAAGTTTGCTCTAAAGCCTAAGATCTATTCACAAGAAACAGGTAAGAACATGCATCCCTATAATTTCGGTGCACACAAAGCTGAGGCAAGGGGCTGGATCCCAGCCTGGCTTCCACAAATACAAGATATAAAGAATACAAGAACACAAAAATACAAGAATAAAATAGAAATAGGCGGCCGAGAAGCCTAAGTCTGTTTAGACCTCTTGTTCTCACATTTGCTGACCCTTATTTCCGGAATGCTTACCCAACGGATACTTTATTTTATCAGTGTGCGATGTACATGTGTGGGGACATGGTCCGGAGACAGAATTGCAGTTGCCAGTCTTGTGAAGCAAGCGCCTTCACCCGCTGAGCCTCTGGGCAGCTTGTTTTTCTCTTTTCAAATACATGAATGCATTCCTATAAAACATTCAACATTATAGTTCTAAAGTTTCCAGTTGTGACCAACACTCTGTGGGGATTGGGGGGGGGGGTCAGTGTTATTCACTCTGCAGGTGCCTGCTAGAATTTGCCCAGACATTTTTGTACTTCTATGAACATATGTCAGTCCATAATGGGGAGGAGTAAGGGTTAAACCCAAGGCACGCACCCTACCAATTGTACTACATTTACAGCCCCAAAACATTTTTTTTATGTTAGATATTGTAAATTACTTTTTTGGTCTACATGGTTTATGTGTATGAATGTTTTGTCTGTATTTATTTATGCACACTGCATGCATGCCTGGTACCTACGTCAGTCAGAAGAGGGCATCAGGTCCCATGGAACTGAACATATGGATGGCTGTGAGCCACCAAAAGATATTGCTAGGAATAGAACCCAGGTCCTTTTCAAGAATAACAGGGCTCTTGACTGTGGAGCCATTCATTTTTAATTTATTTTTATTTGTGTGTGTGTTTATTGATGCCCGTTTGTCTATATCTGAGCCATGTGCACAGAGTATCCATGGCAGCCAGAATAACACAGTAAATCCCCTGGAGTGGAGTTGCAGGCAGCTGTGGGGTGCCATATGCAAATGATGGACCTGAGCCTGGGTCCTCTGCAGGAGCAGGTAAGAGCTCAGCACTCCATAGCCACCTCTCCATCCTGCAAATGTCATCTTAAAAACCTCACAGTAGGTGACAGCTTTCTTTCCAAGGCATCTCGACTGTCTGTTTTCTCTAGTTGCTCTGGTTTTATCCTGTGAAGTCATTCTTCCTGGGGAACACTCCTTTCCATGCCCCCCCCCTTTCTCTATATCTCTCCTTTAGTGGAACTTGCCTTTCCATGCCCTCGTTTCTCTGTATTTCTATACATTGGGCACCCTACTATATGTCTCTTTTGTCATATGCATAGGTTTCTTTCTTTAGATACTAATGGAACTTAATTTTAATATACTGCCATTTTATTCTCCAAAGTTACTATGCCAAGAGACCCATCTGCAAAGTAAGAGTCCCACACATCCAAACAAAGTTTGATCTAAGGAGTACAAGCATCACTTCAGGTTTAAGGATGTAGGTCAGTTAGTATAATGTTTCCCCAACATGCTTGAAGCCTTGGGTTCAGTCCCTAGCAAGGAACATAACCATATAAGTGGTTGTCATTGTTCATGCCGATAATGTCATCAGTGAGGAGGCAGAGACAGGAAGATCGTAAATTCAAGGTCATCGACAGCTGCATAGGGAGTTTGAGGCTAGCCTGGGCTACATAAGGCTCTCTCAAAAACAAAACAAAACAAAACAAAAGAAAACAAAACACTTGTTTATGTCAATCACTGCTTAGAGGTTCTGAGAACCAGCAGTGTCCAGGTAACAAAGAAGCTAACACCTGCTCTGAAAGGCAGTGAGACAGAGAAGGAGAGGAGACAGTGAGATAGAGAAGGAGAGGGCAGTGAGACAGAGAAGGAGAGGGCAGTGAGACAGAGAAGGAGAGGGCAGTGAGACAGAGAAGGAGGGGAGGAGGCAGTGTGATTGAGAAGGAGGGGAGGTGAAAAGCTAGGAGTCGATTCCAGAATGTATTCATGTTAACTGGAGCACCACCCAGGCACAGCTACACACCAGTAATCAGCCCCATCTTCCTCCAAGCCCCTGAGATCAGACAGACAGTCCGTTCCAACATGGATAAGCACTTCCTGGCTTGTTCATTAGGGAATCCGTTCTCGGGGATGGTCTTTGAGCCTGAAGATGTCTGGTACAGCCTGTGTCTCCCCAATGTCACTGGTTCTTAATTTTCTTATCTATTACATGGAGCTAAAGTAGCATTCCCAGTTTTACAGGATGAAGCTCAGAACAAAATGAAAACCCATATATGAAAATAGTTCTGCCAGCTGGTGGTGGTACATGCCTTTAATCCCAGTATTTGGGAGGCAGAGGCAGGGGCAATCTATGAGTTCCAGGTCAGTCTGATCTATGTATCCCTTTCAAGGACAGCCAGGGTTACACAAAGAAACCCAGTCTCAAAAAAAAGAAAAAGAAAAAAACCAAAACAAACAAAATAGTCCTGTCAACTCTTAAATGGTTATAGTTAGGACAATCTAAGAATATAGCATTATTTCAATACACTTACAAGCCAGATATTCACCCTACATCACAAAAAATCTTGTGAGATAAGTATTGCTTTTTCCAAAAGGAAATAGCAACTCAACTGAGCAAACAAAACTGGGATATAGTTCAGTCGACAGAGTGCTTGTCTACCATACACAATGCTCTAGGTTTGATCTAGCTGCAGATGAGGAGAGGGTGATGACAGGGGCCTGTAATCTTATCACACAGGAAGGGAAGTCAGCAAGACCAGAAGTTGAAAGTCAGACTCACCTACAAAGAGTGAATTTGAGGCTAGCATGGGCTATACACAACCCTGTCAACGGTGATGATAATGATGACAATGACAAGGATAGTCAATAAATAATTAAGCATCATACTTAAAGGAATTCCAGCGTAATCAAAAAGGCTCAAGTAAAATCTCTGTATACTAACATTGCATATTCTTCTGGGCATATATAGTTTTCATTATTTTACAGTATACCAAGAATAGGAGGAACAAAACAATTGCATGTAAAAGTAATACAATTAGGGGCTGGAAAGATGATTCAGCCATTAAGAGTATGTCATGCTGCTCTTGCTGCCAATCCAAGTTTGGGTCCCAGTACCACAAATACCCATAACTCAAGCTCCCAGAGATATGATGCCCTCTTCTGACCTCCACAGGCCTGAGTGTGTGTGTGTGTGTGTGTGTGTGTGTGTGTGTGAGTGAGCAAGCACACACACACACACACACACACACACACGTACACATGCCTATACCATACACACAAAATAAAAGCCTTATGAAGCAATTTGAGTTTACATCCTATTTGAATGCAGAATTTGAATGTCATGAGATTTTGCCTCATTTAAACATGAAATCATCTAAAAACCATAATAATCAAATTAGTCATAATGAATACTAGTCCAAGATTCACTCCTCACAAGACAGCATGATGGGGTACTGCCTGGGAATTCTGACTTATCGCAGGATGACAGCCCAAACTTGCTATTCCATGCAGTTTCCCCAGGCTGGTGCCAGGACACATTCTGGGGAAAGCGATAACTGTGCATTTTACATCTTCATGTGTTGCAACCAATAAATCTTAGTCCTTCTCGGAGCACAGCCTTGCTTTGGGGTAAAATTGCAACCACTGATCTGCAGTTCAGCTTTGACTTAACTTTATGCTTTTTTCCTTTTCATGGAACTGCCACCTATTTCAGTGTTGGTCAGTGGGTGGCTGCTTGCAAAGGAAACCGAATAGGAGGGGCGGTTGGAACCCTTGATAAGCCAGTATTGAGGGACTTCAGCTTTTAAAGACAGCCTGAAAGAGAAGGATTTTGCAACAAATGATTGTTATGTCCTAGAGCCTGCAATGAGATGAGAACCAAGGAGCTGGGGGCTTCTAATTGAGCACTAAACTAGGAACTTCGTTGGCATCAGAGATGACAGGATCTTGCAAATTTGAGGTGTCAGAGAAGAATATACTTGAGAAGACAACACCCTTTATATTACAGATCTGGAAAGTGAAAGCCAGACAGGTCACAGCTGGGAGTCAAACAGGACTCAATGTTTGAAGCCCTAGAGTTAGGGTATCCAGCTTCTCCCACCCCCTTCTCAGCCACAGCTCCTTGCTGCACATTGGGCTGACATGTCAGAACCAAATGTTGTATAAATCCTTTGTGTTTATTGCAGCAAGACAAAGGAAAGTGTCACCTTCTTGATCCCAGAACCCTGAGCTCAAGGCCATGCCCACACGTCCTGGATAATTACAGTTAAAATGTGATTGCACTAGACAGAGACAGGGGACCGAAGAGTTAATGATATGGCTCCAAAGAGAAATGTCTCCTCCTTCTTGAAGGACAGGCTGGTCAGGGGCTTCAAAAAGCTCCCAGGACACAGCTCACATAGAGACATGCCAGATGCCTACGTTTTCATTCTATTCAACCTGTTTAGCAATGGCAGGGAACAGGTATTCCTAGGCACCATGGCTTGAAAGTGTTCGGGGGAACAATAAAAAACATCTAAAATAGTAATTTTGGTTGGAAATGTAATTCAGTTGGTAGAGTGCTTGCCTAGGATACAAAAAGCCCTGGGCTTGCTCCCTGGCACAACATCAGCCAGCTATGGTGGAATGTGCCTGTAATCAGAAGCCAGGGAGGGTGGTCAGGAGCCCACGGCTGGCTACGTACAGAGGTGGAGGTCAGCATAAGCTGCATAAGACCCTGTCTCAAAATAAAATGAAAATAAAGCAGTCATTCTGATGGGAAAGCAAGCTGGTTTCCCTGAAGGAAACCATCTCTACACTCACTGGGCAGTTGACTCTGCCTGCCGAACGTAACAAATGTCTGCCTGCACAGCTCCCTGCACCCAGGGTCTGTGACATATGGCAGGATTTGCCCAGACCTTACTCCAACAACTGACATCAGCCCCACAGCACCAGCTTCAAAGACTCACCACTTTTATCGGCAATGGGAAGTTAGTAATCCAAATTATGCTGCAGAATTCAGGAAGTTTATCTTGGAACTGCCTCTTGTGTCCAGGACTCCTCCTCCCTCTTCTGGAATTTTCTCTCTTTCCGAGGGCCCTGGGTGCCCCCTGGACCAATTCAAAGGCTCTGAAGGTACATTCCACCTGCCCAGGTCTCTCTTTCAGAAACTACCCTGTCTCAAAGTGAACTAAGAAATTCCATTCCAACCTCTTGCTGTGAGGATCTCAGTTCAGATATTTGGTGAAAAGAATTTGCAGCAGAGTGAGTGAGTCACCCAGAAACAGGATCACCTTGCTTCTCCTACCCCCAAGGGTTTGCATTTAGAGGGATCTGTTAACTTATCCTACAGGAAATCTCTTAGTGTGTGCAAAGCTATTTCTGGGCTGGAGGCCTTAGCCTTCCCTGGGCTTTCCTTACTCCCCACACTGGTCCCAACTAAGCGTTTGATTTCCACTTTTGTCTTTCGACTATCCTGTCAATTTAGCTTCACCAAACTGGAAGGAATCGCTCTTCATTTTTCAACAGTTCTGTTTTTAAGACCTGTTAGCCCTTTCAGAATCTGGACAGGGTGCTAACTCTAAGTCTTATATTGTTCACTCCTTGCCACATCCCCCTGAGGCAGGTTTATCAAGATCTCCATTTTAGAGAAAACAGGCTGAAAATGCGTTAGTCAATTCGCCTGAGGTCACGATAAGGAGTCTGTGAGTCAACCCGGAGTCTGAATGTAGAGGTTGTCTTCTCAGCAACTGCACCCAAGTAGAAAAGCACCAATTCCTCTTCAGAAAGCCCGATCCTGGCCTGGGAAACAGAGAGAGCAAATATGACTCGGGCTAGAGCAACAGTTAGCAGTGAGACATTCTGAGATGACAGGCATGTGCCGTCACAACCAGTGTACCAAGGGGCTACAAGTGGAGCCCAGGTCTGACTTCCTGAAAGCTGGGCAGTGTTTTCCCAACCAGGCTACATCCCAGCTCCCCCTTAACAATCATAGCCCAGTTGTGTGGAAGCCCCTCATGATGAGATTCAGTGTGCATGCCTTACAGGAAAGCAGAACTCACTTCCCTCAATAGAAACTGAATTGCCATGCACAGACGAATCTTTCAAAACACACCGTATTTCCTCTCCCTCTCCCCATCTCTCTGCTCCCTTTTCTGGTCCTTCACTCAAGCTCTTAACAAATACCAGTTGATAATGAAGGGTTGATCCTTGTTTAGAAAACAAAGGTGGCAGGTGGAAGATGGGTTTTGTTCATTGGTAACCTGAAAGAGCCAAGTAGGAATAAGCTTAAAGCGTGTAAAAGTCAACTTCTCAAGGCTCAACAGGCTGCAAGGTTGTCCTTCTTACCCTGTTCTGAATCTTGTTAAGTACCAGTTAGACTCTAATGCTACCTTAATCCTACTTTAACATCTGGGCCATTTCCCAGGGATTTGTCCAGTTTCCCGCCCCCACCTCTGCGTTCTATTTTCAGGTTGCCCCTCCCATCTTGTACCTGGCATGTGTCCCAAGAAATGCTTTGGTTGCAGAGCGGAAAACACTGATCGTGCATGATTTAAATGAGAGGGGTGCGCCCTGCCACATTTTCATTAAAATTACAGAAAAATCCAAGCTGTGTGGAGTTTAAGGGAGATCAGAATAGAGTCCAAAGTGCTACCAGTACATTTTTAGTCTTTTTTTTTCTTTTTTTTTTTAGCTCAATAAAGCAGCTGTCCTATATTTGCTAAATAGCTTGGAAATTGTTGATCATGGAAAGCAAAGATGCTCACTGTGCGTTCCCCCCTTCCTCATTTCAGTATAGAGTTCATTACTACCTAGAAGAAAGAGGGGAAAGAAAAATCAAACTGTTACAGTTCCTATCATCTCCATTAGTATCTGCGTATCAAATCAAGAATCTGCTACAAACAGCTCCAAAACTGAAGATATATTGCAAGCAGACTCATACGTTTCTACCCACGGACCAAGTATTCCACTGGTTGATAAGCTTAATAAAATCATAACACTTGCATAGGGTAGTGTTTTCGTAAGCAAGAGTCTCTGAAAATTTACACAAAGTATTGCAGTAAAGATGTTATTCTGTGGAGAAAAAAATTAAAACATCCAAACCAAGCATGTAGCATTGAGGATGCCAGAACAATGCAGGTCTTCTGTGGGGTTTGCTACTCGTGATCACAATTACCCCTTGGAACAGGAGACTTTACATCTGAGCACTAGTTCATTGTGTTTTGGCATCCGTTCGAAAATCACAGTGTGTTCCTGTCATTAACCAGAGTTTCTCGTCTCCGTCTTCCATAAGTTTCCTGAACACAGCAAATACACATCTTGACAGGCTGTCTATGAATCAGAGGTAGTATCAAATAATGAAAAGGATCTTTGCTGTTTGGGAATCCAACAGGAAACCAGCTAAACAAACTCAGAGCCCAAGAGCTGATTCATGGTCCTAGTCTTCCAAATGAAATCTATTTTTATAATTCTGTGTCTCTCAATACAACATATGTGGAAGTCCATTTATTGGTTTGGTTATTAAGTACTTTTTTAGGGGAGGTTTCCTCTGTGTGTAATAGGTTATGCTTGTGTGTGCATTGGTAGTATAGGCACAGACACATGCATTGACCCATGTGTGGAATGGCCTCTCTTACTTCCACCGTGTTTGAGAGAGGGCCTCTTGTTACTGCCTCTGTGTATATCAAGCTAGCTATGAATTTCCCAGGATTCTTTTGTCTTAAACTCTCATCTCACCAGAGGCTCAGAGAGTACAGCCATCCATCTCTTTACCCAGCTTCTTATGGGCCCTGGGGATCCAAGCTTAGGTTCTCACACTTACAACACAACGTTTTACCCACTGGGCCATGTCTTCAATCCCAATAAGCTGTATCTTTATCTACAGCCTAGACCTGGAACTTCCATTATACCAAATCATTGTATGTACACTGGTTGCTATTTTTTCACATTCAATTACAGAAATAACATATGAACAGACCATCGTGAAAGGATAAAGTCATATAGACGAACATGGAATAAAATTGAAAACCCATCTGCTCCTGTGTCATATTACAGTGTTAGTGGATACCTATGGATACTTCCAGACTTCTTAGGCAACTTAAAAATATATAAACCATATAATTTTAGTATTTTTATTTTGTCTCATACATGGAACTGTACTAATAGCAGTAAAAACACTTGGTTTTCCTTATGAAATTTCAGCTTTTTAGTGTTACCAGGGCATGTCTCCACAAAACCACATGCTGTAAGCATGCAACCTGATGGTTTATGTGCTGATGCGCTCTGACCTGTGGGTCTCCATGTCCTCCTCCCAACACCACCCTCTCCCGCTCTGCTCTGTTGCTCGGCGGACATACGTGAACAATGTAGTTTAGTTTTGCTTGTTATCTTGTCTCCTCAAATCATAGTCTCCTTCTAGTCCTTTCTCTATTTTTTATCATTATAATTTGTTAATTAAAATGAATTATTTGTCCTGAGCAGATCCTTCAGTCTGGATTTTATTGACTGCATTCCCTTGGTGTTACTCAGTGTTTCTAGTAACTACTAGAAATTGGCCGTGTGGAGGCTTATCCAGATTATTCTGATAGAGGCTTATTCATTCAGATTCAGTGTCAAAAATTATGGATGTATTACATATACATTGTATGTATATATATTCTAGATTTTTAAAAAATGCTTTTGTATATATGTGTGTGCATGTATGTGAGTACACAAGCATGTGTCTGAGTTCATGTGAATGCAGGTGTACATTTGCCATAAGACATACGTAGTAGTCAGAGGGCAACCTTGGGAGCAGACCCTTGGCTTGTAGCTTGAGGCAGGATTCCTTTGTTGTTTTCTGCTGCGTGTGACAGGGTAGCTGGCCTTCACGGTTCTAGAGGGCCTCCTGTCATCTGAAACAGAAACACTAGAATTATAACAGTGTGCTACTATATGGGATTTATGTAAATTCTGGAGACAGCTCAGGTAACACTTAGACAGCATTTAGTCCTTGATCTACTTAGCCACCTACCCAGGCTATTTACTGGTGATGAGGTATTTTTTCATCACAATGCCTTTCTTAAAACTTTTCTTTCTTTTGACACAGGGTCTCATTGTAGAGTACTGGCTGGCGTGGAACTCATTGTATAGACCAGGCTGTCTTAAAACTCAGAGATACTGCCAACCTTTGCTGGGAGTAAAAGTGTGTACTGCCCACCACCCACCTGGTGCCACTTAAAAAAAAATCTATCATATGTTGGAGATTTCTCTCCTTTATTTGATGGATAGTGAGATGTTCTGGTTCCACCTGATGAGGGTTAGGGTTAGGTTTTCCTCATCTTTGCAAACAATGCTACATTCAAACTTTACATGGAGAACTTTGTGCCTAGAGGTGAAAGTTCATAAGATGACAAGTCTTCCAGTCTCTTTTCTTCTACGAACCCTCCCAACAGACCAGGCAAAGGGGACAATTTTGTTTGCAGGTGGACCCGCAGATGATTATTTTATATAGAACACTCAGTCTGCTTCCTCACACAGCAAAGGGGCAGCCATATCCCAAGTGGAAAAGTTACCTAACCTACCACAGGAGACACCCAACACTGCCTGGAACATTGGGGTGAAAGGGGGAATTACTTTGAAACTATAATTACTGAAGCATGCCATTTATAACATGGGGAGGAAAGTGTGTGCAAAGAATTTGCTAATATGTGTCTGGAGACACAGAATACTTATTTAGTAAAGATGTTCTGGAGGAAAAGTGTTTAGAGTCCCATGTATTGACCACACGTGGTGTTTACTCTCTGTAAAACTAGCCATCTGCCAAATGTTTCCACCTGAGTGACATGTGGTCACCTCAAACTGAGCCTGGAAAACCTGCACTCACCCTCTGTCTCCTCTAGGTCCAGCTTTTTCCTTGGGTTTTGGAGTAACACTGATGGTCAAAACCTTGACTCATCTTCAGCTGGCACCACTGTCCGCAGCAGGCTGGAAGGCCTTTCTTTATTTCTGCTTCCTCCTTTTACTCCTCCACTCCAACTTTACTTTCTGGGGCTCATTTAATGACAGCCGCAATAAAAGTCTAATTGGTTTCCACTCATTGCCGGCCCTTTTAAGCTGATCCTCGTTAAAAGATGAATCTTCCTAAGTCACAGCTCTGGTTAGGCCACAGGCCTGTTGCAACCCCAAGTGTCCCAGTGAACTGCACACAAGCGTCAGAGCTTCTGAGGATAGGGAGCTCCTATGGTTTGGCCACACCCTTTTCCTCTTCCCATGGTCTCCGCCTTTTCTGTGCTAATGTTAACTCAGCTGTGTCCCTCCTGTGTGGCTGACTCCCTCCCTGGGGTGAGGCTGTTTCCTGGGTAGAAAGTGGAACATCATAAGGAGGGAGGCTCTAGAACCAGAAAGCCTGGATTCTTTCCAGTCCCTATCTTATCACCTGTGTGACGGTGACTCATCAAGTGGGTCTATCCTCCTTCCCAGCGTCAGTCCCTTTGTTTGTTTGTTTGTTTGTTTGTTGAGACAAGGATTCCCTGTGTAGCTTTGGAGCCTGTCCTGGAACTAGCTCTTGTAGACCAAACTGGTCTCCAACTCACAGAGATCCGCCTGCCTCTGCCTACCAAGTGCTGGGATTAAAGACAGCCCGGCCATCAGTCTCTTGATATTTGAGGTTGCTCAATCCGTGCCATTCTGCTCAGTCCTACTTTTAATATTGCACTTATGGTTGCCATTTCCAAGCAAGGGCACTGAGGCTCATAGAGGTTACAACAGTTGCACCTGTTCCCAGATCTGATGAGTGTTAAACCAGGAATTCAACCCACAGG